TTGTCCTGTACGTGCTGTGTGATGGCACTGAAGATGATCTGTTCCATAACCTTCCCTGACACCCAGGTCAGACTGACAGGCCTGTAGTTCCCCAGATCCTCTTTCCAGCCCTTCTTGTAGATGAGCGTCACATTTGCTAACCTCCAGTCAACTGAGACCTCCCTGGTTAGGCAGGACTGCTGATAGATGATTGAAAGTGGCTTGGTGAGCACTTCCGCCAGCTCCCTCAGTACCCCTGGGTGGATCCCATCTGGCGCCATAGACTTGTGTGGGTCTAAGTGGTGCAGCAGGTCACTAACCATTTCCCCTTGGATCATGGGGGCTTCATTCTGCTCCCCGTCCCTGTCTTCCAACTCAGGGGGCTGGGTACCCAGAGAACAACTGGTCTTACTATTAAAGACTGAGGCAAAGAAGGCATTAAGTACCTCAGCCTTTTCTTCATCCTTTGTCACTATGTTTCCATCCACATCCAATAAAGGATGGCAATTCTCCTTAGCCCTCCTTTTGTTGCTAATGTATTTATAGAAACATTTTTTATTGTCTTTTATGGCAGTAGCCAGATTAAGTTCTAATTGGGCTTTGGCCCTTCTGTTTTTCTCCCTGCATAACCTCATGACATCCTCGTAGTCCTCCTGAGTTGCCTGCCCCTTCTTCTGAGTATGAACCTACATCAGCATTCAGTTTAACACTTAGCTCAACTTCGGACAGAACTTTCCTAAAACTTTTCTTATTGTTCAACAGTTCAGAAACTACAGTAATTTTCTCTGCAGTTGAGGTGGGGAAATTTATCCCAAAGCTCCTGATTACTTTTCCCCTCGCTTTTTCCTTCCTCAAAACCATTCGCTTAAGACACAACTGATGTTTAGTCAGTACTATTCATTGCCATGAAAAATTTGTTTGGTTTTTTTTTTTTCATCCAAGACTGTAACCCTCATGAGTAGAGTACTCTTGTCAGGCATGCCTGAGTCTAAAATAATAAAATAGAGATTCTGATAGACACAGTGACAAAGAGATCAGATAGTGCAAACTGAACGCTTGAGAAAGACTACTCTGTAACATTTAAATGTATATAAGCTCAAATATACTTACATTTAATTTCTCGAGAGGCTGTCCGAGTGAGTAGATTACATAAGACTGAAGATGATCAGTGTATTTCTGTTTGGCTTCTTTTTTCTCAGCCTCAAGACAAGAAATTTTCAAGCGAGAAAGTGTTGCAAAAATATGATGGAAGTTCTCCATCATGACCACATCTCTGGGTGTTTTCTGGCTTTCATTAGCTACTTTCTCAACTGAAAGAAAAAGGAAGCAAAAGACTTAAAATGCCAAAGGACAACCAAATTCAGAAAAACGTAACCAATAACCATAATACTGTCAGAAAAGGAATTTTGTAACGTAAGAAGTAACAGATATGTACAGGCTCTAAGACCATGAAATTTGTATGCCAAAAAGTCACTTACAAAAAGATACAAAATAGTGACTACATATGGTCATTTACGTAAGTGAGAAACAACCCACATTCTGTGGAGGCTTACAAGCATGCTTTCATTTTCCCTAATAAATTTCACATGACAGAACTATCTAAGAAAAGTCTCATTCCCCTCTTTGCTAGAACAAAAGTCTTCAATAAGGTGGTGGGTTTTTAAAATGTACTTCCCAGTCTCTCAGTTTTTGCTTAGCTTATTAGTTTTATGGTCAAAGTTACTGTCAATCCCCAAATTTAATAATAAAAATGGATAATCTTGCATATAGGTCTCTTACTTTCATCCCCCCCCAAAAAAAATCCAAGGCAGACAAAAGAAATTCCACGCATCACTCCCTTATTGCACCTAAAAGCAGGCTGAAAGAGGATGGCTTCAACAAAGAGCACAATTAAATCTCTATGCCTGTTAATCCATTAATCATTTTGCTGAGACTACCAGGGTGCCCACCATGAAAGTGATCCTGGGCACCAGAGTATCAATAAAGATCACAAATTCATTTCAGTCATAACACTGAATTGCCAACTAGGAAAATCCTGCTACTGCCAATTTTGTTCTTCCCATATAATTTTCTAACCGCCCCCCGCAATTCTACCTGAAGTACTATACCTTTCTCACCTGTTTCAAACATTACTTGTAAATTAAATATCCTACTGCATTAAACACATTGCTTGCACTGATTTTGTACACAATTTTGACTTTGTTTCATCGTCATTCTTTACTTCTATCCCTTATCCTCCTCCATCATGATTCTTTGTTCTTTAAGTTTGCTCTGTTCTTGTCTGAAACAGATTTTGTTTCTTCTTCGGTGTTTGACTGGCATCATTTTGAACCCCTTTTAAAACATGCTTTTCTAAATTCTTCTTACAGTAGCTATTTTATCATTGTACGGTTTTGCCTGTCGATAGGTGTTTGCTTAGTTTTATCACTTGAACAGTGAATTCTTAAGGACAGAAAAGTTGGGTGCAATCAAATAAAAAACATTTTCAAAATTTACTGTCCTATCAGCTGGGATGCTCCTGCTGACTACATATAGACTCTGGTCTGCTGTACTATGAATTAATGTCTCTTCACGATTTCCTACTATGTTCAGAACCACTATGCTATAATTTCCTCAAACTAGCTTTATTGCTTCTACTGTCTCCTCTTGCTCAATCATCCCCTAAAAGTCTCAGTGGTTGGGAATTACTATACGTGGAGTTGTTTGAAAATTTGCAGGTAAATCAGCACAGAGAGGTCCATCCATCCGTATCCCCTATTTTAAAAGAAGGACAATTTTTCCAGAGTTCATTGTCTTCCAGATCTCCCCCGCTTTTTGTTTTGTTTTGTTTTGTTAGTGTTAAATAAAACCAGTAGAACAAGGGTGTTGCTGCTGTTTTTCCAGACTATAGCTGGGAAAATAGGGAGGACTCGAGAGACATTCTGCTGTGTCACGCTAGGACACAAAGGACCTAATCTGCTTAGAAAGGGTCAAATTCATAGCCAGAACTCAAGTGATTTATTTTAGACAGGGCTGTGAAGAGAAACAGTATTGGGGTCAAATGCAAGGGATCCCATCCAGATTCATCTCCTCGTTTAAGCTACACTGGGGGAGAAAAGACAGGAAACCACTTCAGATTGAGCATGTCATGTTGCTGTCATCTCCTCTCTCCCTTCAGAGTCTTAACCACTTCCCTCTGTCATAACTGAAATTTACTTTACAGGTATGTACAAAAGGAAATATCTACAGTTTGCTCTGAAAAAGTGTATTACAATCAAAAGGTTTACAGTTGCTTTTCTACCAGTAACAGAGATAACTAAAATTTCAGCACAGTATCAGGCATGTGGCTTGCAATAGAGTGTCTTAAAAAAAAAAAAAATCATGTTAGTTGGAGCAAAATTATATATAAATACGAGGAAGCAATCATTTTAGTAACTATGACAACTTCAGAAGACCTACCACTGACAAAAACAGCTCGAATAAGTTTTATGTAGGCTTTATCTAGATCTCCTCGTCGTTCTGCATTTTTGAAAATTGATTCAGCGAGGGCTGCAAACTCTTCAAATTCAGCAACAAATGGAAGGATCCCAACTTTACTCTTCTTTGAGATTTTTACTTCGTCCATCTGCTTCATTTGGTTACTCTTAAATTTAAAAGAGGAACAGATGTTAGCCTCTGATATATGACTCCAGATCATGTAACAGCTAGTAAAAGAAAAGAAAAATGCAGACATACCGAAAAAACTGACATTTATTCAAACATGGAAATAATTTTATCTTTCAATTATTATATCTACTTAGTCTTCCTTTCTACCCTCAAAAATTTCTTAAGAAATAAAATAATCGGAAAGAAAAAAGGAAGATGGGCATGTAAAATCTTCCAGCTTTTATTCTTTGTTTACTTACTTAGTATTAAGAAAAAAAAAATAAGAAAAACACCCAAAAACTTATCCACCAGAAGCAATTAACATTTTTTGTTCTATAGTCTAACAAGGAAATTTGCTTTTCTGATTCAGCCAAGCTAACAATTCCTTTTGCTACAGGAAGTTTCTTTAATATTCTACTGAAATTTTATTTCTGAGTATAATCCAAAAAAAAAAAAAAAAAATCAGCTTCAAAATATTTTAAGCATTAAACTGATCAAGAATGGTCAGTCTTATTATGTTGGCCTAGAGTCAAATTACATTTATGACAATAAAAAAAAATTATACCAGCAACTATGTGTTCACTAAACTTGCCATTATTTCATATAATGGTCATATTGTATTAGCAAAAGGAAGTTTCTGACAGTAGAAGCTGCCTCTCCTACTGCCAAAAGATTTGCCATTTTATCTAAACCAAGTTTTTCTTAGATAGAAGATAGAAATAACTGAACACATGGAAGAGATGTCTGTTTGGTATATTGTGCTTAAAGGGGAAAAGCAAAACCCTCGAGGGGGGGGTCCATGAGGTTTTGCTGTGGTAAGTAAAAAAGGCAGAGAGCTATAGTTTACTTGACTGACTTCAGTAATTTCAGTAGGAGTACAAGTTTAAACAAACAACTAAAAATGGCAGCTAGCTCACAGCAGTGAGAGAGTGGTCATATTTCTTACAAATAGCTAATTATTGAAGAAAACGGGAATGGAGAGGAAAAACAAACATAACCACCAATTAGTTTATCTATTTTGAAGGTTTGGCCAGTAGAAGGGCAATAAAGTTACTCATTTTCACTTCAAATTAAAAGCAAAAATTTAACTATGAAGAAATGCAAAATCAAACTGGGTAGCAGTGGGCTTCCTATATTATAGTTAATCAGAATAACTAAAGAACTTACAATGCATTTATCAAAGTTCCTTTTGACAGTCACCAAGACATTTCCAAGTGTTGTGCTGAGAAAGGAAGCTGGGTCCACATTTTGTGCTGTCCATACATGATGACTCATCTTAACTAACATATAAAGGGAATTAAAGCTATCAATCTTGTCCCCCAGTGCTATAAGATTATTCAGCTCAGGTTCAATACAACGAAATATTTTTGTCATCATTTGTCGGATCATGTCCTTCCTATTAAAAATGCATAAGATAAAAATATTACTCTGACAGTTTACTAGGCTATTTTACATGTTCTTTGATAACACTTTTAGGACAAATTTATTGGATATAGTAGTCTCATTTGCATTCAGCAAGTCTCACGATTTTCAGAATGTTGCTAAGGGAAGAAATGCCAATGCCACACAGTAGAAATCAATAGTCACAGGTATAAAATATTCCCAAAAGTATTTTCTGTGTGGAAGCTGCCATGCACTCAAATTCAGAACTTTGCTAAGCATATTTTCCAAAGCATATTTTATATATTACAGCGCCTAGTTTCACTTTGCAAACTATTAGAGACTTAAGCATCCTTTTTTATACTGCTATAGACAGAAACATCCATCCTATCCTATATACAAATTTTTTTATATTTACTGACACATTCAGTGTCTAGGTACAAATTAAGAATTCACTATTCATTTTCACTAAAAGGGAACAATTTCTGATTATAGAGAAAAAAGTTTTATATGCCAAATAAATTCACATGTAGGCTTAAGTATCAATAATATACAACAGCAGCACATACTCAGATGATATTGTTTGTGGAACACCAGAAGTGTATGAACGAGATAAAGTTCCTCCATCCATTTCCTCCGCTTCATTCTGTAAGAACAAGGAATGTATATACAGGAAGCTGAAAGCTTGTCTCCAATTCTATATTTAAGTGATAAGTATATCTGACAATACCAACATAATTAGCAGCTTTCCCCCCGCTCCCCCGCCTCTAAGTAGCAAATACAGTGGTTTGCAAGGTGCTGGCAGTTTTCTGGTCACGTTCCCCAGAATACACCACTTTCCACAATTACTCCCCCCTGCCTGCCTACATAGCACGATGAAGGGTTTATTGTGATCTTATGAGGAAACAAAGCCATGGCAAAAGAAACATGTCAGTCCTTCTTTAATAGATTTTGTATTGGTCAGCCAAAAATAAAGATTCTGCCAGCTAATGGAGAAAAACAAATTACTGATCACCTGGATCACATAACTGCCAGATAAATTCAGAAGTTATCTTTTAAACAGGTCTTTTATGAGGCCTGTTCAATATTTTTTACTTCAGTGACAGAATTAAGAGTCATACCGTTGTTGTTCCTGAGATGCTCTGATGTTGCTGTAGTTTGAAAAATTTACTTATGAAGTCCTGTTCTGCCAGACACAAAGGCTCTAGTTCACTTAATACTTGCTCGAAAATCTAAAGAAAGCCAAATATTTTATCAACACACCAAATACTAGGAACAGTTAGTAATACTAATTTTAAGGTGTTTGTTGCATAGGATTTTATACTTTCTATCTTCAGTAATCTTTAGAAGGCTTATTTCTACCTAACAGAAATGGCAACAGCTGGTACTTGTATCTTTAAAAGTGATACGTGCATCTTCAACATAGTCCCTTCTCATCCATGTAACATTGGGAAGAAAAGAACAGTATGTTTTTCCACAACTAGAAGTTTTCTAGTCACAGCCTAAGGAAGGACTTTTGTGCTATAAAGAAAACATTTGCATTTTAATAGTAAGTCATGGGTTCTGCCACCCTCTTTTCTGCCTGGGTTGCTGAGAGGAAAAAGACAAAATTAAAAGCCTCAGGGAAGACAAACAGGTAAACTGCGTATGTAGAAGATAACTGCTCTGTAGAAAAAGTTTCTACATAGCTGCCACAGAAACCAACAGCAGGTTTTGTACTGAAATAGAAGTATTCATCATAATTTTTAGATTTAATCTAAAATGAAACTATTTTGGCAATAATTCATTAAAATAATTTAATTTTATTAATACAAACTACTGAAATTTTAAGTCAGGTGTTAGACATACTTCTAATCTATCATCTTTACACAACACAAATTTTCTCCGCAAGTATTTAAGGATTAAGACATGCAATAATTTATATAAATGAAACCAATCTAGCCACATAGTAAATCCATACTATTGAAAATTCCCCTAGAAAAAAAAATTGAAAAAACCTACTAGGTCAGCATATATTAGTCACACTCACATGTCCCCAGTGGGTGTGAGAGAAAAGTCAGAAGTTGAAAAAAATTAGCACAATACTTGTATAAAATTGTTTTAAAAAGCTATCATTTTAATTCTAGACAAGTTGCTGCTGCAGGTGTGTAATAACTGTTTCAGGCATATAGTATTTCCTTCCAGAAAAAGACTGAGCAAAGATTTGAAGAAGCCAGAAGAAAAATACTCATCTCCATCAAATAATGCAATAGAGAGTAAGAAAATTATTTTTCTCTCTCACTCTGATAACAGCTCCTTTTCCCTCCACAGTACTGAGGAGTTAATTCCACAAGAAGTGAGGAGTACTGTCACTTTTAAAGGTTCAGGAAAACAAAACAAAACAGATGCTGAGGACAGCAGGTTTTTAAACAGATGCTGAGAACACTCCAATAACAACTTAGTGCCATTGGTTAAAGCTGAAAACTGATGATAACTTTGATGTGAAATTAGTATGAATAAAATTTTAGGGCCATGCTCAAGTCCTGGCTAAAATAAGATTATGCTTTCGTATCTTTCACTTTTGCTTACACACTGGCAAAATGAAACACATGAACATTTGCATTGAGGAAAAAAAAAAAATCAGTTGAAGAATCCATCAGTTCAATTCCTATTTGCTTAAACATGCATATTGGGCTTAAACTTAATAGACCATTTTTTCTGCTTGATATTGTTTACAGATCACACTAAGCATATAAAGGAACTAAATGGAATCTTACAATCAGAGAATAACACTCTGATCTACATATTTCTTAGAAACTGCCTTTGTTAGATGTGTGGTGCATACAGAATTTGAAATCGGCATATTTAAGATTTAAACAGCACAGCTCTTTAAACTATACAAGAAGGATATGCAAGACACCTCTAGAACAAAACTAAGCAGGAATCCTATGCAACATTTTGGCTTTACCTTATCAAATTTTGTTCTATCGGCCACATCAAGGTCAGAGGCAGACATGTTTCCCATATCCAACAGTGAGGATGACTGAGACCTACGGTTTCCCGAACTCTGAACAGAGAGTTTATTTAGGCTAGAAGTAGACCCAGTCAATTTTCCAGAACTTCCATGAAGACCTGTGAAATAAAGACACTATGAAGGAGGGAAGCAAAGGCAGAATAAAATACTCAAGAAGAACAGGTTCATTACAGAACGTATGAGATCAAGAGTTGCTAGTAGTCCTACACTAAAATCAAACAACTCAATTTTTTGTCTAAGCTGCAAATGCTTTTGCTATGAACACATTTTTTTCCTCATTACAAGGTAACTGAAATACTTCAGCAGATTTCAAAGTACAATGTAGCTATATAAGCCCTCATTGTAAAGTATGGAAAAAGGTATAAAAGGAACAAAACCTTGAAATATAGGAACACTGGCATAGATATTCTCCTTGAAAGCTTGGAAGCAAAGACCAGTTATGATCTTTGTGAATGTACTTTGGGCAAAGGCTGCCACAAGCAGAAGAATTAGTCCATAAAAGGGAAAAAAATTAAAAAGCTTTATAAACACACAGGCACTTTTTCATCTGGAACTTGATCCTTCTGCTGTTAACATCCTTTTGTCTACATGGTTTGCTCCAGCTATTTTGCTGGATCTACAATCCTATAGTAACTCTACTACTAATGCTCCCCTCTCCTTTTGGTCATAATTAACATTCAGACATTTCTTCCTGATATTGTGGGGCCTTCTCCTCAGTGAGGAGCGTATCTTTTTACTTTCATTTTTTCCAAAATTTTCAGATGTGTTGGGACACGGTGGAGAAAGCCAGTTAACAAAAAAGACCAAGAAATCGTCAATATTTGACCCCCATGTAAACTTCTCACATCTCAACCACAAAGAAACTTAAAAGCAATCCTACAAGTTTCATTTAACTGCTATGTCGGTATCTAATCTAGGGACACAAACAAGACAAAATCTGTAGATCTAGTAAAAGTTTTTACCTCAACCTACTGGAAGAGTTGGAAATCTACGACAAGCTCTCAGGCACAAACATATTTTTTAGATCAACTAGTAGCATGGGAAAACCAAAAGATATTGCCTTTACCTGCAAACCTTCTCAACTTCTATGTTGGGCCATTTTAGCCGTGCTTCATTTTCGCCTTGCAAAAACAATGATTCTGCTAATGCTTATTTCATTCTGAACGGAATGCTTCAGTGTTAGGTCATTTTTCCATGATGCAGCACTACATCTTTACATTGACACACATGCATTGACAATACCAACTAATGCAACTAGTTATACTCACTCTCAGTTTCCTGTTTGACAGCACTTTCTTTTCGAGGCAGTGTAGCTGGGATGGATTAGGTTGCAAGCATCAAAGACAAAGACAAGTTAAAATGCAGTTTGCACAAACCATGCACAAGATGCAAGTTAAGCTCTAACTGGAAAGAAACATGCGGAGAACTATAAGCAGCAAGTAACTACATTGCAAACACATTTAGTTGGAGAGGTACTATTCTAGAAATTCAGTATCTAAGCTACATGGAAAACAGAGTAAGTTTCTAGGTATTAAACTTTACTTTTTCTTATAAAGTGTGTTCAAAGAACATTTTTGGTAACGTGTATTTAAGTTCTTCCAAATCGAGAAGTCCATTAAATTAAGAGTTGTATTTGTCAGAGTTAATATTGCAAAAGACTCAGTTTCCAGGATCAATCATCATATCAATAATAGATGTGAAGAAATTAAAATGTATTTATGTAATTTTGTACTGAGTCAGAGATATTGTCCACCTCTTCAATTTAAAAAACACACACCAATACTGCAAAATCATTCATATCAACAGTAAGACTGGCTAACCTTTTCTGTTGTTCGCAAATCAGGATGTTTACATAGAGAATACATCTTTTGTATTCATGCTGCACCAAAAATTGATGACTGCAAATTCGGAGAGGATGAAAACAATAAATATATAGTAAAATTTACAAGGTGTTTTTTTATTTTTCCTGGTTTTTGCAAAATAAAACAGCTTACTCAAGTGGACTTCAATATGAAATTTAGAGTAAGTGGGCATTTGTAGTAAACAGAGAATCCCTAACCAGTAAAAGGCATTTGCATACATACACTAAAAGCAGTATGTGGTATTAAGAAGACCTTGATGAGGATGGATGCTACAAGCCCCCCAAAATGGAGCAGGCAAGCAGAACCTACTGTAATAGAATGAGTAAATACTTCTAAATGCCACAAACATGTCTTAAATACCAGATGTTCTCAAGTAGGCAATACTACTGACATTTATAATGTCAAACTCAAATTTAATTCCAGCCTAGTTTTTAGATCTTGGGGATTTTGGCAGTTTTTGAATAAAAAGGTTTAGGCCTGATATATTTGGTATATGTATCTGACACATTGGTCCCACTTCTTCATTATCCTCAATTTCCAAACACACGGGACTATATTACAGAAGAACTACAGGCAAAGATCAGGCCCTGGACAACCCGGGAGCCATAGTGGCTTTGGAGAAGCCACATCATATAAACATATGACAGTAGTAGCACTCTTT